AACCAGGAATAATATTACTTAAACATTAAATATCAATGCTTATTTTGATTCAGAATATTCAAATTGATTATTTTTGTATATAAATTGTACCTGTATGAAATAAAAATAAATATATACCATTTTATGTCTTAAAAATATTCCAGAGATATATTCTAAAATTATGCTTGAAAAATAGCTTAGAAAATTATTCACCCGGGAAACAATTTTTTATATATAATATAATTATATGTATAATATAATTATATGTAGATAAATAGTTAGGGTATATAGGAGAGAATTGTCGAATGCGTACTATGTCTCCTAAAAGGAAAGCAAATTCGACGAACTTTGGCTTTATAACAAAAGATATAGTGTAATACATAATAAATCATTACATCCTTGTTTGCCAATGTTAAACAATGTCATATAAGTTATTTAATCTAATCAAGGCAAAAGATAATAAGTTGATATTATAAGTTTTAATATTTTAGAGATTAATTAAAATTTTACATCTGAACATACTGACACATTATAATTCACAGTATATTATACAATTTGTATATACAATTGTATATACAAATTATAGCTATACACTGATGAGAAAATAGAAAGAAGTGGAATTGATTAATCCTATTTTATTGCTAAAATCAGTATTATTAATTAGCACCATATTTCAAAATACAAAATACGACAAAATTAAGATTTAAAAAAATGTTTCCTTTTGAATTCAGGAATTAATTTCGTGGTTTCCCAAATGATCATCCATCCTGTATCCCATTTAGCATTGACCTCTGCAATCGTAAACTATTACATGCATACGGAAACTATTACTTCGATGATTCACGAATCCTGAATTTTAATGAATATATAACTGTGATATATCTAGTCAACAGTTATTATTCCAACAGCATTAAAACAACATTAAAACGTTCCAACAATATTATATTTATATTATACAAATATCAAAATAGTCTTACTTTTTATAGATGTATAATTATATATAATATACATATAAAAGGTATATAAAAAGCTATGTGTGAAGAAAACGCCACATATAAAATTATTATAAACAAAAAATTGAATTATATTCATATATATTTCTTATGACCCAGTAAAAAATTTGTCATACATAACTATATGTACGAGATGTATAAATACATATATACATATAAACTAATATTTTTCTTTTGAATTATATAATAATTAATAATTAAACAATAGAATATTGATTTTCGTATTGAACTATCCTTCTCCTCACGATTGTGTATTAATTATTTGAACAAATCTAATTAAAAACTATGTTAATAACTAAATAAAAATATCTTTATACTAATTAATAATAATTAAACAAAAGCAGGAATTTTATTACGCATCAGTGTAAAATTCGAAAAATGATAAAAATACTGTAAGTCGATAAAATTGGTAAATTCGGATGGTAAGATAGACAAGAATCACGCTTCTCGGCATCGAAAATCTCAGAAAAATTACCTGAAATATTAGCAAAGCAGGATAAGTGAGGAGGTTGTTGGAAGTTACCTTAACTCTTTGCTAACGTGCGTTCCTGTTAGTCCGGATTTATTTTCCAAGATTTTCGACGCCGAGGAATCCGATTCTTCGCTTTACCTCCTCGCTATCATGCGCTCCTGTTATTCGGATTTATTTTCCGAGATTTTCGAGACGCCGAGAAATCCGATTCTTCGCCTTACCTCTTCTATTATCGTGCGCTCCTGTTACTCCGGAGTTATTTCTCGAGATTTTCGGGGCGTCGACGAACCCGATTCTTTGCCTTACCTCCTCGCTATCTTGCGCTCCTGTTACTCCGGATTTATTTTCCGAGATTTTCGAGACGCCGAGAGATCCGATTCTTCGCCTTACCTCTTCGCTTATCATGTGCTCCTGTTACTCCGGACTTATTTCTAGAGATTTTCGGGGCTTCGACAAACCCGATTCTTCACCTTACCTCTTCGTTATCGTGCGCTCCTGTTACTCCGGATTTATTTTCTGAGATTTTCAACCTGGAGAAACGCGACTCTCGTCTATCTTACCTCATCATCCGAATTTGTTTTATTTATCTTTATAATTTTTCAATCATTCATACAAATATCAAGTTTCCACTTTTGTTTAATTATTATTTCAAATAAAAATATTCAATATATTTAATTCTTTAAATAATTATTGATTATAGTTGTGTTAAAAATTCAAATAACTTATACGAGTTATGGTATCATATTATGCGCACTGAGATGTTGAATGATAACGATTTGAAATCGCTTTCGGCGGCAAGTAAGACGCAACTCCGCTGCCATCGTGACGCTTAGATACCTCCGATAACTTCTTACGCTCCTAATAATTTTGCCGATTTATACGTTAATTTTCTAACGCCAAGAAACCGAACTTTCTCGCCTAACCTCTCCATCCGAATATGTACTTTTATTTTTTATGTATCTCTCGCACAGATGTATAATTAAATTTCTTTTTGTTATTTAATTATATAACAAAACTATAACATAACTTAATTTAAAATATCGAATTTATTTAATAGTTATTATATTTAATTATATACGTCTAAATTACAATAAAATTCGAGCGTTATAAAAGTATACGCGTTATATACGTAAATAAAAGTTACTAATTTCTACGTTAAAATGCATAATACTGTAACAAATTAACAAAACCCGTAATGTGTTTTTTCAAAATTAAACAGGTTTTCTAAAATTAAATAATAAACATTTATTAATATCCATGCCCATACAGCACAGAACTTGCAGCAATAACGCTGCAATATTGCTGCAACATGCAACATTGCTGCAATGTTGCAGCATTGTTGCTGCAACTTTTGTGCTGTAGGGGTGGTGGAAGTATATATTATATTTCCGTCATATTAATATCAGTTAAAATATCTATGCAAATATCGCTTAAAATTTTCTATATGGAAGTTTTAAAACTATGCTTCGTTAGTGAAACATCTATACGTATAAAACGTACGTTTTAAAAAGCATATTTGAGACTAATATTAACTTAAATAAATAAAGTGTTATATAAATGGACATAGGTACATGTCCAGTCACTAGGATCGGACAGTACCTATGTCCGGACATTAATACAAAACTATTTATTATTATTAAATTATTTATTTTATTATTATTAAATTATTTATTTAATTATAGTTTTTTTAACAAATTAACATCTTTGAAATATGCCTATTTGAGCATCGAAATTATTAGAAATTAATTTAATTCGCGAGATTACTACAATGATTGAATTGCGTTTATATAGTCCGGAAATTTTTCGGCGCGCAGTTTGTTAGACTACAAGTGTGGTATACAATATGTCAAGTACATATATAGCATATTTAGTGATTCAAGATTAAATTATTTAAGCGTTTTAAGATCTAGCTTCGACAGATATAGAGTTCTAATTTATCGATTGTGTTCTCACATGTATAGTCTAAAAATGAGATTATTATTGTTTATTTATTTATATTAATATTAATTTCAAATACTTTTTTACCTTAAAGATCAATTTGAATTAGTTGTCTTTTGTCATTAAACATCTATTTATATTATTATTTTCCGTCAGCATATTAATTTTCCAATTGTGGTCGGACACTGGGACAATTACGTCTCAGTGTCCGACCGGCTTGTCCGGCTATATATATATACTGGTACATTGACACATTCTATTATTTATTTAAATATTTTAATTGTTATAAGTGGGTTCAAATAATTTTTCCTTGCTTAAGAGAGTCTTGAGTTTTCAAATGAATACAAATATTTATATTAAAAATCTTTTTGATATTATAAATTGTATTATTTATGAGAACCTAACACTTAAACGTCCGGCTACTGAGACATTTACTAAATATACATTATGAATTGATGTAAAATGATAAGATAATTAATCAACTTCTCTCATAATATTTAGAAACATATATATTTACAATATAAACACATATAAAACATATGCCTTGGACAGTTGTCACATTATTAATCATGTTATTAAATTATATATTATTAAAGTTCAGACATATCCAGCAAGGCATTCAAATGAGTTGGCATCCAATTTGTACCATTGTGACATACAAATAAAACATTGCTGTTGATGTAAACCTGAACATTGCCCACTTTGTACACTTGCTTAGCCTCCTTATATCTATTCGGGATCGGCATAAATAATATACCTCTTTCTTCACACTTCTTTTGTACGAAATCTTTGAAACCTTGCAGTATTTGTGAAGCTGTTCGTACTGCCTCTGCGAGTCTCTGTAAGAAAACGATAGCATAATTTTATACAAAATGTATGCAATTATGCATCTTACTTGTGCCATTATTTAACATCACGTAATTTAAACGGATAGTGTGCAATTCCTGTACCTCCATTCTCGGCTGTGCAATCGGTGCCACCTGCGATATTGTCGGCTGAGTTCTCTCTAAGCTTGTTAAATATGAAACTTGTTCCATTGCACCAGGTTGATGCGTTTGTGGCCCACTGACAGCCCTATTCATCATGTCCAATGCCTTCTTAAAATGCTCTGTAAATCATATGTTTCCTATTTTAATAATCATCAACCGTGAGGAAACAAAAGATGTAAATTCAATATAACAATGCAACATACCTTTTATTACTGGTTCCGCTAGTAACTTGTCATTTAACATCCCTTTCCAACTCATGTATCAAATTGTTACTTGATCATAATTAGGCGAATGATTGAGCCAAAGTGCTAAAACTTGTAGCCATTTTGGGAAAAAGAATTTATCAAGCAATCCTGCCATGATATGAACAGGGATTAATTCCCTCCATTCATACACCCAATTCCATTGATCTAAGTGCTGTTGATGTGGATTTATAACAAACTCGGATAAGGCTATTTGCAATTTTGGAATAATGTTTTTGACTAAAAATGCTTCCATGTCTCCTTTAGCAAACACTTCTGTCCATGGTTGCAACATTAATCTAGCGGCTCTATCTGATGGATGCCAACCTCCTAATGCAGATCCGAGTTTTCTACGTATTATTGGATAAATCAAAGTATCTAAACGATTTCCTTGAATAATATAAAAACAGTTATTATTACAATGTAATTCATTTGTATAATCAAATATACGAAAATATAAAAAATAAATTTAAGTATGTGTATATATATATATATTTACGTAATAATGGCAACCAAGGATGAATCCATGTATGAATAGGTACAGTATCAGTAAGAGGATTCCATTCTTCAACTTCTAGTGTTAATTTTGGTAATACTAGTAAATCTAATATATTTTCTAAAATCCAATTGGGTAATAATGGCATCCAGTATTCTATTAATTCAATTAAAGGCTCAGGCTGTCTACATGTCCACTGTCTAATTTATAAATAAAAAATATTAGAAAGCACAAATACATTTAAAAAACTATAGATTTTTACAGATGTGTATCATAATAAAATGTGAATATTTTCTTACATCCTTTTTTTGATTTACTTTAAATTATTATACATATATCTTAAGCAATGTTGTACTAGTTCCATTCTCCAAGATATCCTTCCACTGTTCAAATAATTTAATTGGTTGTTTTGGTTGCATTGATGGATTCCAATTGAGCAAACAATCCTTTATTTTCGGTGCCACAAAACTGCTAGCTAATTCACCAAGTTCGTACATTTTGTATTCTTCATAATAATTGTTTTGTAAATTTTTGAAAGCCTCTGCAATTTCTTGCAACGACAATTCGTTCGTTTCATTCATTAACTTATCTATAATTATAAGCACGTTATCCAAAGTATCAATAAGTTGACCATGTTGCTCCACGATTTTGGATAAATTCTTTTTTTCTGCGTCTAAAGCAATTACTCTATCATTTAAATGTCTCATTCGTCGATCATTTTGAACAATATCTTGCTCGCACATATCTACAAGTAAATTTAAATTATGCTGCAGTTCAGGCAGGGCAAAGTTCACTTTAGATTTCTTATCAGACGTAATTACAGTCTCATCAGGACACTGCTGACCACCAGCTATTGCATGATATCCACTAAGAATTCTTTGTTCTGGTCCTGTCATATCGATAACTTTAACTCTACTCATATCGCTTGACACTGGAAGTTTCTTATTAGGTTTCAGTTTCCCATCTTCCAAAACTTGATTTACACTTCTATAACAATATCTGACTTTTTTCTTATTGCTATCACCCTTTCGCCATTGAGATACTTTAGATTTGGATTCTTTTGTTTCCTCTCCATCATCATCTTTTTTTTTCTCAGGAATCTTTGGTGTTTTTTCTGGACCATATGCACCTATTGCACCTCTTCCTTTTCTGAGATGTGCTTCTACTGGTGCGCTTATTCCTTGTAATTGTTTACCTAAGCCCTTACCAGGTTCAAATCCCATCTAAATAAAAAATGTTTTTTATTAATTTATTACTTTTTTTTATCTCTTGCTCTGATTTATAATAAATAAATAACAGACATTGCTTGTAAAATACCTGTAGCAATAATTTAGCACCAATGCCCTTTGTGTGCACTTCCCAACTACCCATTCCACTTTTCAACAATAAGGGATTCACTTGATGGCGCTTTTTACGTAGACCTGCGATGTCGCTGTCCAAATTCAAAGAGAAGGATGGACGTGATTTTGAATTATTTGACCTCTCATCTTCTGAACTAAATGAAAAAATTATATATATATAATATACATACATACGTACATGTATAAGTTTACCTTAATAAAGATCAAGGAAGAAAAAAAACATTTATATTATAAAATAGTTACGTTTAAATTTCTTACCTCGAGCTACTGTGCTTTGTTTGAGAATCCTGCGTCTCTTCTTCATCTTCTTCATCATCTTTAGCTTCCTTCTCTTTTGGTTGTCCTGCTTGTTGGATACCACCAGCGACGAAATTAACTGGAGCTGTATAATTCTTAGGACCCTTGTTAAAAGTCTTAAAAGATGGTCTGGTAGATAATTCATCCTCATCACTATCATCTGCCCATATTCCTGTTCATAACAAAAAATGTGTTATGAAAAAATATACCATACTTAAAAGAACATAATAACTGTATACTTTTATATGTAGTATTGAAAAATTTTGTTATTATAAAGAATATATCAACATGTTTAAAATCATTTCCAATTCTTCGATTCCTTCGATTCTGTATCTCAATTTAGTGTAAAAATAACATTATTTGTAAAGGTCATCATACCTAGCATTTGTTGTTTCTTCGACAGTTTGCGTCGGGGACAAGCAAAGTTAAATTCATTATCCAAATCATAATCAGTAACTTCAAAGCTTTCCACTTCGTCTTCAGACATTTTGCCGTATTATTTAATTAATTGCAATATTGTGTAATTTCGTAACAATATAACCTCAAATTATAGTTTACCAAAATTTTTATTCACTCAAAAATATTGATACGTATTGATATATCACTGATTGCAGTTAGAAAATACATAATTTGTGGAAATGACGCACAACATTTGCTCGTGGTTGATGATTACATGTTTTTATCGATGATATATACGAAGATTGAAAGCACGAAGTCCGAGCAAGTCGGAATAAACCTAACAGAGAAAAATTAGAGAAAGGACATGAGAGGTTTGCTCGCATCGCATGCTCCAACATGTTCCAATTGGCGCATTTAGTACCACAACTGTTCACTGAGCGCTCAGTGAGCTCTTGTATCTGTTTGGTCTATATTTTTAGTTCTAACGGAATATGCCAATAAGATGCAAGCGCTCACTGAGAGCTCAGTGAGCAGTTGTAGTACTGAATGCACCCAATATGTTCCTACCATAGCTCCTACTCATTCCAACGCGCTTGGTAAAGTGAGAAGGAGCTATGGTAGGAGCATGTTGGAGCATGTTGGAGCATGTTGGAGCTTGCGACGCGAACAAACCTGAGATACGAGGGCTTTTTTCCTGTAACCGCAAAATGCCTCCGTGCACTACTGCCTTCTGAAGAAGTGGATATAAACTACATAACAATGGCTGCGTTCAGCAGAGAAAACTAATCAGTTAGCGCTTAGTGATTCTTTAATACGATTGGTTCCTACACTTAGATTTTGCGAAGAACTAACGGCAAGAACCAATCATATTAAAGAATCACTAAGCGCTAACTGATTAATTTTCTTTGCTGAACGCAGCCAATATCCATTTTTTTGTGGTACTGCTGATGGAAATAAATTGTTGAAATAACTAAAATCTATCAAATTAATAGAGATTCAGGTTTCTCTCTGCTTGTATCCATAGTCAGATATTACATTTAAAGCCGGCGGCACACGATGCTTGTTTTCTTGCTGAATTGCTAGCTAGAATAAATTCTTGCTTCCGTATTGGTTACGATGCTGACACTGTCAGTATCGCAGCCAATACGATGGCAAGATTCTAATCCAGCTAGGAATCCAGCAGGAAAACAAGCATCGTGTGCCGCAGGCTTTAAGTACAGTTTTAAGATGTCATGAACCAATCAGAAAGCCGTAGCATCATTTTAATTAATTAGGACATTAATTAAGACGGTCTTGAATATAAGAACTGACTATGAATACCGGTCTATGTATGTAGTCTTTTGAAACGCGCCCCGAAATGATTTTTCGGTCTTGAAACGCTAAAAGCCCGTTTACAGCTGCGGTTCACAAACGCTTCGAAGCATTGGCTGCGTTCAGCAGACTCAACAATTTTGCAACCGTTTTATGATTGTCTGCTGAGATAGGACCATTCTTCTAGATCTAAAAGTATGATCCAATTAGCGCGAAGGAAACTTACAACAGTTGCAAAACAAACGTTCTGCTGAACGCAGCCATTCTTTGATTAATTAATTCGTAAAATTCTTTGTTCTGATTGGTCGCTCAAATCCTTCGAAGCGTTTGTAACGTCAAGTGGACCTCAGCCTACACGTAGGGTGCGTTCCACTCAAGAAGACTAGAACTAAGGAGGATCAACTCGTGCCAATAGCGGTAGTGGGGGTGAGGCAAAAAGTGGCGACGGATAACTTCCCCCACTCTTCCGCTTCATTAGTCCTCTCTGTCGCTCTATATAGTTGTCGCTCTATCGTTCTATAATCGTCACTTTGTCGCTCTTATATCGAACTTTCACACAATGCGCAGTGCCGCTGCACATCGTGTGAATAGCCGCGGACGTTTTTTGACTCACCCCCATCACGCGAGTTGATCCTCCTTAGTTATAGTCTTCTTGGTTCCACTTAACGCCCGCAACGCTCGCAGCCTTTTAATTTGATTTTTTTTAAGTTAATCCTCAGACACAATGTGGGAGGATAATGAATATATAATTTAGTAATTTTATAATCGTTACTTGTGAACAAAAATAACCAGATTCTTTAATAAATTTGCTGTGAGAAAGGAAAAATACGAAAAATTATGTAAAATGGGCAAACTTTTTCTTTTTCTTTTTTTTTTTTGGTTGTTCGTTCGGACCAAATTTAACTTTTAACTTTTCAATTACTTTTTTTACTAACTTAACTTTTAATTCAATTAATTTCATTATGGATTAACTTGTATATATTTTAATTAAGTAAAATTTTTAAGACTGTTAATTTTAACTGTTAACTTAGTTAAAAAAAAAAGTTAACTTACCCAACCCTGGAAATAAGAATTATTATAAACGGCATGGACACGAATGACCCATGTGTGCCGTTCGAGGGTTAATTGTATATACACTACCCGCGCTCATGGAAGTTTGAATACCCGTTTCCATTCGATAAATTTTATCGAATGATCATGTAAAAAATTAAGACATTATAAAACAGCAATTGTATTATTTTTTAAATATATTTTAGATCACTTGTACAAATACTAACAATTGCAAAAGTTTTATAAATTATTTTTAATTTTTACGCCAAAATGTTTTACCTTTATTTTGTAGAACATTGATAGTATAATCGGTAATTTCAAAAATTCGCTTTTGACATATAAAATTAAAAATAATTTATAAAGGTTTTGCTAGTCTGCCTCCCATCTATGGGGATAGGCTGGCAACATACACCATAGTATGAGCCCACATTTGTTCTCTGAGCGAATTTTTGAAATTTATTGATTATACTATGAAGTAAAGACAATACATTTTGACATACAAAATTAAAACTAATTTATATAAAGCTTTTGCAATTGTTAGTATGTATACAAGTGATCTAAAATATATTTAAAAAATAATACAATTACTGTTTTATAAAGTTTTAATTTTTTACATGATCATTCGATAAAATTTATGCGAGTGTCCGAATTTCCATGAGCGATAGTATATATATATATATATATATGACATGTGCGATTAATTCAAATGCTTTTATTCTTTTCCAACTAAATAAATTTCGCATTGCAACAAGCGTTATACACAAGCAAATAAAAATTTGAGGGGTCTGCGTATTTGAGAAAACAACAGCTAAACTATTCATCAATTTATTTGTGTGCAAGTCAGCCACAAGGGAAAGACATACGCGCCGATCGATTTCATATGATTCAACGAGAAGACAGATCTCAAAGTCGATTTTACATATGTATGAATCGAATATAAGAGCTATATAGTTTTAGTTCTAGAAATCCGCAGTTCCAGCTGCAGTGCACAGCGAACGCACTATCACATTACTTGATTATATAAATCATGTCTTAAATGATTTGACAATCTCATTAAAAATATATAATACTAAGTATATATATATACATACACACACTATATATACACATGTGTGCGTGCGTGTAAAACTCAAAACTTCGAACATTAAATGTATAATTTCATGAAATTATTCTCATTAAATTGAGTCAAGAAGTATAGATTTTTACAATACAATTATAATAAAAACAAAATCGAAAATATCAAGTAATTCCATTAACATTCACAGAACGCAATAATAGCGTTTTTCACTTGCAGGGCACAGAGCTGGTGCGCACTCAGTGTTCTTTAAAACTGTGTACACCAATTGACGTAAAGACGTACGTTTAATAAAAATATAGAAACGAATTAAACCGTAAAATCTTTGATACATTTTTTTTTTCATTTTGTGGTATTTGATAAAATATACATTGGGTATTTTATTAATTGAGATATCTCACTTTTACATTCAGATTAGGTTAGTGTACAACAGCTTTAATGTGCACTGAGTGCGCACCAGTTCTGCCAGTGAAAAACGCTATAACAATAACATTACATCAGTGTTATAATTTCCTACTCAACAATGCAACTGTTATGTACAATATGTGTTATATTACATTTATATTGTTAATTACGAGCTGTGGGAAATTGTGCAAGTAATATTGATGTAATGTTGCTGTTAATTTGTTTTCTGCGGCATCACCTTATAACAAAGAAAAAAATGTAAAAATCTGTTTAGATTCTGAGATTGTGCAGGTTGTAATTTTGAATGACCTATAACTCGTTTAGAAAATTTCCTCGTCCGATTTCTGCAAGGACAATCGACAGGCCAATGTGATGGAACGTTCGCGTCGGCGTCGCATCTGAACATGCCATTAATCTCTAAACACTAGCCATTAGAAAAGGCAGATCCAATTTTGATTTTCGCACTCGGTCCGATCTGCCTTCGAGTTCGAGGATAATTCGCTTGCTGGACTGACAAGCGGACAGACCAAATGCGGATGCAATCGCGGTTAAAAAATCGGTTCTCCACATCAATAATTTCACACGATTGCTCTCTCACGATTCGAGGAGGCATAGATCGCTACTTATCTCGTATATGCGGTAGAAGCGCACAATGGCCCCACCAAACTCGTTACTCTCGATTCGATTTTTTTACGTTAAGTGACATCGATTTAAATTTATCATCATCTTGAAAATCGAAGAGCTCGCTTACTCGAATCTTATAAATTCATATCCTTCAAAAATATATTTTCCGCATATATATATATAGTTAACGCAATTTTCTCTTTTAGATACGAGCGTTTGAGGCTGCTTCAATAAACCTTTAAGCTAAATAACCCAGTCGACACGAACTAAAAGTAACAACATCAATATTATAATTTCGCACTCAACCACATAAATTTAATACAACACAAATTTAATATAACACATTGTGTTACATAAGTTACATTGTTGAGTGCGAAATTATAGCATTGATGTTATGTTACTTTTAATTGGGAAACTTTTAAATATTATGTTACGAATTCATTCGAAAAACTTCCCTTTTCAACAAATGAATATACGATCGGCATCGCGGCCATCGATCGAGAGTCTCGAATCGGTGTATTCGGCGTGAATACTAGACAACTGCAAGGAGAATTGGGCAACTGTCACACTCACATTTTAATCTTTATTGTAATAGACTGTACTCTGAATTTCATCGCACACTTTCCTTCTTTTAACAAAAACTGTCGCGTGTACACAGGGATCGAGTCTCTTCGGTGACGCTTTACCATTTTACGTTCTTTTCTTTGTTACTCTCTTTTTCGCTCACACACATGCATAACATTCATTTATGCTTCATCTTACTCCTTCTTTATGCACAACAAACCACGTCGTAAGACGCATCATGCGTTTTGCATGCTAGTCGAGGCATATAACAAAATTCGATATAGACTACAACAATAATAACGTTTTTACTACACATTTCTCTCACATGCGTACTTCCAACACGCAGTCTCACGCACACTTATTCCGCCATTCTAATACGTTGCCGCTCTAATACAGTTTGTAGATTCTGTTATTTATAGGATACTCGCGGTGTCGGCGATCTTTACTACCAATATGACAAGTGTTTCATCCGGCACAGTCCATCACATGTTCTTTCTTTTCTTCCCTCCTCTCCTTTTCCCTTTTTTCCTTAGTAAATTCAATATTTATACACTACCTTACAATCCCTTTCCCGTTCTCTCTCTCTTCTTCATATTTTCTATGTACAATTCAATTTTTGACCTTCTCTCTCTTTTTTTTTAAGATATTAGTAAATGATAGTTACCAGCATCTATCTACACTGTATATGATTTAATAGTTGATTTTTTTCTCCTTAAACGCTACTGTGCTAATTAATTTTTTATTTATCATTTATATCACATTGTTCACATTATTCATTTAGCTTGAGTGCTCAGTGCTATATTATCTTTAGTTTCCATCCGTTGTAAATCTTCCGTCTCGACCCGTTTGGTTATCTTCGCTCTAACGAAATTATTATTTACATGAGGCTATTACATCGCTTAAATAGTTACCGATAAGGGTCTCAGTCGCGGCTAAACAGCTGATTGCAAAATATCGTAGAAGCGATATTTCACAATCAGTGACAATTCTTTTTTTTTCTACTTTTCTTTATTCTAGTCCCGCTCACAGCTTTGTATTTCTTGCGTGTGTATGTGTGTCACAGGACATATGGTATAATCATTTGCATTCATTGCACGATTTGAGGTTTCGTCGAATGAAAGCGTTTGCGTTGAAAATAATTCAACAAAACTTTATTTTTGACTAGTACCTCGGAACCGGGTTTTCGTTCGGTTTCTCGTCGTCTTTATTGCAAATTGAATTTTCTCGTTACGTCCCGAACACTAAGAAGCGCGTAATACGACGATGGACAAGTAATTTTATCAAACATATTAATTTAACTGATTAACTTCTCCTTTCCATTGAGACGCCAGTGGCATCGAGATTAAATGAAAATTTAGGAGATTCGTGTACTTATAGAGTATAACGACTTAAGATTTGAAAAAAAGAAAGTCTATACAGTAAATTGAGTAACATAAACAAATTGTATAATCTACAGTATGAAGAACTTTTCTTATAGGTATCGAATTTCTATCGAGTTAGCAAAGTATCTGTCTGCCTTAAATGTTGAACAAAATGTTAAACAGAATACGTTTATGTGATTTCGTAGCCCTTTAAGGCACGCATTTACATCTTAACTCGAATAACTAATCATACTACTCACGATTAAATAATTTAAAGGATACGAAACAAGCTGGTACGCAGATATGTAAAGGATAGTAGTACTAACAATATGCACAAAGGTTCTGGTATCCGAAAGAGAGAAAGATCGTCAACAATTATAACGTGCGAAAAAGCAGAAAACATATTACACGTTGAGTTACGTCGGAAAGATATTTCGTTGTATAAACGTCATGCGCAATGAGAATATCAATTGTTACGTAGTGATTTTACATGATAAATATGTATCTCAAACGAGTTCACTGTTCCAGCAATCACTATTGACGATCTCATCACTGGAATACCAAACAAAAGCGTATAGTATGATTTTACAGGAGCGAACGAACGTACAAGGGATTTTTCGATAAATAAGGTTAAAATTATGTTAAAAGTGAAATATGGATTTCTTATTCCATAAACAGTTTATCTTTCATCTTATAACTTCTTCAATTTTCAACTTTCAACTTTCCAATAAACCTCGTACAAAATTGAGACATTACAATCGAATTTGAGATTATGAATCTATTACTTTCATAGAATTACATCATCCCTTACCAATATCGAAATTTATTATTTCAAAAAATAAAAAATGCAATAAGAGCTGCATAAAAATTTTTATTTTTCCACACAATCACCGTAAAGTTTGATGTAATTTCGATTTATACCTTATTTATCGGACAATTCTCATACATATAGAAAATAATGAAAAATAGTGCAATAGTTTGATAAATGCGTGCAATCGTTCTAGCTTCCCAAACAGTTGTGAGCATTATCGTTCCCTTCTATTCTACTCGAGCCATTTTCGGTTGTTATGCAAGAATTGCGTTACCGAAATGAATGTAATGTATAAAAGCATGAAACGTTACAATGCACACGTATTCACGAGACAGATTACAATGATGATGGCGACTTAAAATATACGTTTCTAAATCCTTCCATGTGACGAAATCTGAGCATGAAGAAATTAATATGTTCGTAGCGCGTTGCAATTATGCGTTCGTGAAAAGCGCGATAGCGATTTGTATAATACGCATATAAACATATAATAAATACAGAGGAATAAATACTTAACATGTATTATTACAAACCTATATAATCTGTTGCCAGTTTCTAAATAACTCGCTTTTATTCGCTCTTATCGATTTAACAAGATTTAATACATCTTGCGATTCAATTGTCAAAATTAAACAGACAGACCTCTATATAGAGTTCATCCGTTCTCCACAGCCGTTTTATACATTTTAAGATATAAAAACTCATTATAATTTTTCAACTTCCGCTCGCTAAATAATTAAATAATTTTTTAACCAAAACATTCCAGAGCTTTTCTCTTAATATTTAATACTAAGAGTACTGTTATCATTTTTCTTGTGATACTTGTTCAATTGCAATAAGATATAATGAAACTTGTCAATTTATAGATCTCACAAAACACAGTCAAGCAATTTAAAAGTTATGCAAAAAGTAAAATTTGTTTTATTGCAAGTCAAAGGTTTTTTCTTGTTTCGTTTATAGAAAAAATATCTAGAATATCTGAAGTAACATAAAACACTTAAAAAAAAAAAGTCATTGTCAAAGTAAGCATAACGAAAGAATTCCCAATCGAGAATATGACAAAACAATGATCTGAATAGCATATGGTATATATAGTCGGTATAACCTTAAAAGTTTTAAAAGTCTTAATTTGTCAACATATTAACATGAAAGCTTTCTCATTCTTGACACTCGGGCTACAATTGTAAATTAATTTGTTAGAACTTTATATTTAATTTATGCACACACAATAAATTATCTTCTCTTAATAAAATCAAGGTACCGTGTACAATATATGTGTTGAGCAAGGACTTTTTTCACACTTTCTCAGTCGATTTATTCTTCGGAAGGGCTCATATCTCGAATGTCAATCTTTATGAGACACAAATGATGTTTTAAAATGCAAGACCACTTTGATGTTAGAAAAAGAACAATAGACAAAAATTTATCTCGCGTCAGATTCTTCCACGATATTTACTGCCTGTCGTAAAATATTTCGAATTTAAATCGCTCACATTCTCGCTAATTTATCACTAACATATCTAAGCGATTCCAACAAATAACAAAAGATAGATTTATTTTAGATAAATGTATAGAGTAGAGATTTACTCGAAACACCAGCAAACCGTATTTTGATATTCCAGCGCAATCAGATTAATTTTGCCTTTCCTTGATTCTGTCAGACAGTCGAATTCGAGGTCGAAGAAGGTTGTGTATTGGAAGCTGTCGCCGCCGTTGTTGAGGGTGCTGTCGACGTTGACGGTGAGCTCACCACGACGACAGGTTTCACTAAAGTCGTGGTGTTAAGATACTGAGCGTTTACAAGCGGCATTTGTCCCACGGACTTGAGAATGGGAGTAGTGATCATCTTCCCCGCGAGACTCGATGGTGCTAAGATGTGAGCGGTCACCTGATTACCTTGAGAGACGACAGTCATCGGCGTGACAATCGGAGTTAGACCGGAGAGTGGCGTGTGCTGGCCGACGATATGAGCTATACTCTCTGTGGATGGAGAGTTCTGCATCATTGTCGAGGTTGGTTTACCCGCAGCAGTTTGAAGTGACACTCCATGACTTAAAGTTAATCCTGCAATCACAAAATAATGAATGTATCAAGCTTTTTTTACCGCACCGTATCGTAGTATGGGGCATCTCGTAGCAATGAACATTCCGAATAGCCATGAACTAAAATATAGGTTGTTATACACACCATTTGCCGGAAGTATATTCAATTCCGCGCCACCGGGAAGTCTTGCCAATTCCGAGCCATTACCGCCAACGAGCGTTACGCCACCGACCATCTTATGCGTGTTCTGCGCATCTCCCGTTCTTATTCTCGTCTGGGCGTCTACAACGCGAAGAAATACTTTTATTTAAAAAATCTAAGAGCTTGCTTATATCTTCTCTATGCATGGAAATTAGAAAATAAACATCATCCTATAAAATCTTCGAGTCGTAGAAAAATCCGAAAAAAGTATCGTGCGCGTGGATCTTACGAGATCAGATTTATATTAAATCTACCCATAAAAGCATATACTCACTCGACACATTCAACGCGGGCGAATGTGTGGCAAGGACCAACGATCGACCCTCGTTCCCCGAGTGCACGAAAGTGACGGGTCTAACGTCATTCGCAGACGATTGTACGGCCAGGGCTAGGGGCCTGTCGTTGTTGGACAGATTAGAGTGCACAAATGTCACTCTGTTGTCGTTGGCGGTGGATGAGTGAACGACCAGCGCTACGGGTCTTGGCTCGTTTCCAGCGTTTGATTGCACAGCAATCAGCGGTGGCCGGGATTGATCCGAAGAGTTCTGCACCGCCAATGTCAGAGGCCTGGATTCATTGTTGCCAGTGGTGTGGGTGACTAAGAGCTGCCGCGTATCACCCGGTATTACCCTTAGTCCTGGCCCGATATGTTGCAGGGCTGGCACGATGGTCGCAAGACCCTGACTCGTGTTCAACATCTGAGCACTGATCGGCAGATGCAGTTGATGCGGCTGCTGGACTATACCGGTGGTAGATGACGTAGCGACCTTCTCCTGAAATAAAAATGCCAATCCCATCTAGCCTTCTAAATGCCAATCTTTAATCATTTTAATCTGATAAATCTATAGATACATTTACATACGTTTTAGCAAATTTAAATTTGATGTGCGCTATATGAATTTTCATATACACGCGTTCGACGAATCCAGACCAAATAAAGAGCTGAATAAACACGAAGGGACAAACTTGCTTCGATGAGCATGGATGGTGTCACCACAAGTACCAATACCAAATTTACATGATAAACACAATATGATATAAAGACATGTCACGCATTTTCAAAGCCGTTTCCAGTAACGGTCTGTAAGCGGCTCTGCAAATGCGTGGTAACTTGCTCTAGCACCAATTGTTGCAAAATCACAATATTTATGATCTCGCCTTGGATATGATGCAAAAATAACTTCATCATTTCATTTAGAGTAGAACATACTTGCGCTGGAGTAGAAATGTTGGGTGCGGGTGCCGTTCCAGCAATCGAACTTGCAGGTGGACTCTCTCTGGAGCTTCGTACAAGATTCAGATCCTGCGTTTGGCAAACGACACCCGCGGTTGAGGCTTGATTATGAATATTGGAAGTCGTGCTAGTGGACTGTAATGCTTGCGGGGAACTGGCCGTTGTCACACTGTTTAGACTGCTCGTGCTGCTATACCTTGTGCCACCCCGTGATAATCCAGTAACGTCAACCTCCGTATTTTCTGAAACTTGTTAAAAAGGTTTTTATTAGATAAAGAATGTTGGTAAGAAAAATGAACTTTCTGTCATAAAATAAAAAAAGATATAGAAGATACAGAGAAATTTTCTTCTCAAACGAGAATAAATAAATAATCAAAAATAAAAATTCAAAAGAAAATAGCACACAAAATATCATAAATAAAGTTTATGGAATTTTTTCCAAAACAAAATTTCCATACATTTTTTTTATTTAATAGCTTTTAAGCTGCAGCTAAAAAAGAATGAAATAAATCTGCTTGCAAAATAAAGGAGCTTTACCTAAAAAATTCTTTCATTATGAGCTAAAAAACAATCTCTTTAATATGATGAAATTTATTAATTTTTTTAATATTACAAATATATCTCACCATTTTTGGCGGCTGTCACATCCGTCCCAGGATTCTGTTCCAGCAAAAGAGAATTGATGTCGATATGATCCCAAGTTGCATTGAGTTCTTTTTTCAATGCAACTAATCTCTGTTGAGCCGCAATTTTTTCTCTCGCGAGTCTCTCCATCTCATGTTCATAATCTCGTTCTCTTTTTCGCAGTGCCTACGGCGCATAAGAAACATTTTTCATTATTAAAATCTTTCTCTTTTAAATATTGCCTCTTACGTAACAAACGTAATCTTCTTTTGCTCTCCTCGATATATATGTATATCACAGTAACATATTTATTAAACTATTAAAATTATTTATTGAAAAAATTCAGAATATTTGAAATATTTTCAAGAGCATTCAAATAATTATTCATTAATAATTATTCGTTAAAAAGAGATGTTTCTACATTTTCTTTCACGTGGAATTAGCTTCTTATTCCCGATTGTACCATCAATCAATAAGATGACGGATCAAACTTTGTGTTTTCGACACAAGATTTATGTTTAGACAGCTTTAGTGTTGATGTCTCTGCCGCTTTCGATGTCCTAACGAGTTGCATCGTGCGTAATAGTCGACAGCGACGACATTGGACGATAAAAGTCTGGAGAGTAGCGCGCGCTGTATGTATGTACGTGCCGTGCGGCGTGACATCGATGGCCGTGCGGTCACGTGGAGTCGATATAGGTAATCCGTCTCGTAAAAAAATGTAATGCGCACAGAGATGGTGCGATATACGCGAGAGAAGGGAAGGAGCGATCGGCAGGGATCTACGGTACAGAGGTGGGGACGCGAATCCCTGCGAGGGGAAAGATTAAAGAAACAGAGCAAGATAAGGAGATTTTCACGAGACATTACGAATGTGAAAATGTGGTGGAACTGGTGGGAAGACGCAGCTTCCGAATATCTTTTCTTCATGTTGTCTGGCGTTGGTGATTGCTCGAGGATCGTGGCTTATCGTGCAATGTCTTGCGACAACGACAAAATAGAATGGAAAAATGGAATACGCTATAAATCATGTATTTTACATAACGGGCTAAAACTTGCCTGTATGTATTTGTTCGCTGCATGGAGAATAGAGAGATTCGAAGACTTTTTTTCGTCTTGCGATGGTAGCTGCCTCTTTAGAAGTTCAAAACACTCCTTTAGATGCGCCCTCCGATTCTTTTCCAGCTTATTGTGTACTTCCCTAGTACCAGATCGAATTACACATGTTCTATAATAAGAAAATATAAATTATAAAACAATACACAAATAGGAATAAATAAAAAAATTATTTCTCTATCTCCTTCTGAATCTTAAATTTATGAATTTGGGATAGCAATTTTGCGGATATAATATCTACTGTTCTACGCGGAAAGGTTTTGATAAAGTATCTAAAAATTTAGCCAGATACAGATCTGAAAATTATTTTATTGGACTATCAAAATAAGATGCTCAAACTGGTTGTTAGAATGTCAAAACTTAAGATTTCTACGTATTATTTTAATGGTTCAACAAAATTATTTTCAGATTGTATCTAGCTAAATTTTTAGATACTTGAGCAAAATTTCATTCTTTCCGTAGTATGCAACGCAATCGCGTAACGCCACGCGTTACCGTCGTGCAATGCAAACGCGCCGAGCGACGCATCGTGCACGTGCCATTCACCCTGGACACGTGCACGGCGTAAATAGGTATAGCCGCCTGTAACGTCGGCGACGGCGTCGCTCGTGCACAGAGAGGAGCGGAGAGGAGAGAAGATGAGGCGAGAACGCGCGAAGCAACAGGCTGACGTATCGACTCGCAATGGAATGTGTCGGTGTCGCCGCGTAAGTATGTGTCCATCACGGACAGATATTGTAGAATCTATTTTAGAATTCTATGAATTCGAATGTAGCGGTATTGATAAGATATGATGCAAGAAACAAGTAGATTATAAAGCCTTTTCCTAGCTTGATCCTTGGTCCAATTCTCAATTCTTAATTTGTTTAATTCTCACATTTAATTTGGAAATTCGGGATTAGTTCGTGATACAGGTAACCCATTAAGGATCGGCTAGTCGATTTTTCGACCAAAAAAAATAGGTCAACTTTGGGATGCGAAATCTCTACCAAAAGACTCCTTAAGGGCATAGTAGCTTGACATTAAAAGGATTTCAAATTTTGAGAAAAAAAATTTGTCTTGGTCCTTAATGGGTTAAAAATAAAATTGTTGTCACAAAATCATTATCGCTAAATGTTGTAACGGAAAATAATTAATCTAGATTTACGATATTTCTAGAAGAGGATGCGAAAATAACGAGGTTGCCTATATTTACATACATAAAGAAAAATATAAAAATTTATAGGTAAGCTTACCCCCCAGTTCGGTTTTTCTTATTGTCGTGGTTCGTTTCATCAATAACGAGGTTGCCTACATTTTGCTGAGATTGATTCGGATTTTGATTCTCCATGTAATGATTATGTGTGTTATGATGATCGCTATGATGGTGATGCTGCTGATGATGCTGTTGCTGTTGCTGGTGGTGTTGTTGCTGTTGCGGCTGCTGTTGCTGCTGCTGCTGCTGTGGCTGTTGTGAATGAGGATGAGGATGATGAGACATGGAATGGAGCGCAGTCAGCTGAACAGAGGTTGATCCGGTTGACGATGGCGTGACTCGTGTGTTGGAGACCATAGAAGTACCTCGGAAATGAGTCGAAAGATTCATTCTGTTGTTCTCCAATGGTTCTTCTTCTGCAACATCATTAGAATGGTTTTACTTTTAAGACATTAAAGAGTTTAAGTTCATATTTTCAAGAAATAAATTTTACAACAAAAGATTATTAATCTTAGAAAGCTCAGAAAAGATTTTCATTATTTCGTAATATTTACTTTTTTAAAGTTACAAACTTAAATCGATTTAGAAATGAGTTCTTCAATTCAAATAAAAAATGTATACAGATGTATAAATGTGCTTAGAAAATATCAAGATATTTTATTACAAAGGAACATTCAAACTTTATGTATTATATTATTCTAACGATAAATCAATAGTCGAGGGATACGCATCGTCATTTGAAAAGTTCTCGGAGCGTTCCGATACCGTGGAAGTCAAAATTTTATTGCAGCGACTTTATCGTATCATTCCAAAACTTTCATTCTGAATATAGGCACATTCACAAGAGTCACTACAATTCCTGACATTCCACAGATGCAGACGACAAAGCTCTTAGCTTGCCATTCTATTCTATGCTCGAGCTTGAATGGCCACGCTTTCGCCTAAGATTAGCAGATATTTTCTGGAGTGGCGATGGCTTTGAACGAGTCAATCCTTTCGCCGACAATTTATTTCTTGCACAGAATATATATATCGGAAATTATATCAATAATTCACTTGATCGAGTTTTAATTTATATATAATATTATTTCATTTTTAGTATTTATACGTATAATTACTAAAAAGATACAATCAGAAATGTCGTACATTATATACTGAGTAGCAATCAAATATATATATATATATATATGTAAAATATAATTTATTATATGAAAACCAGTTTTGAAATTAAAATAATCATATTTTCTCATTATTGTTTAACATAAATGATAAATTTATTATATGAAAACATGTTTTGAAATTAAAATAATCATATTTTCTCATTATTGTTTAACATAAATGATTTTTAATTGCATTATGACATAAATCGGTTAATGATTATTTATTGTAAGTATCAAAGTGAGAATATATCAAATTTAACTATTTAACTATTAAATAGACTATTTAACACTTAAATAGAGAAACATTTTGCAAGTAATCCCTGTAGAATATTGTGTAGAATTATGTGAGAATTTCACGCCATTAAGAATGTTCCTGAAAAATGGCGGTTTTCCTGGATAAGAAAGATTAATAAAAATTCGCGAACGGCCGCAACGTCTCACTACCGGCACGAAGAGCAGCTTCCTCTCTCTCCATCCTCAAGCTTCGCTGTATCCACCGTCGGCACGATAAATTAGCGCAGCACGTGTACGCACATGCAGCTAACTCATTCATGTGCAAGTCGTCTTGGCAACGACCGTTCCGTCGCATAGCTCGCGTCTCTTCCTAAATCTATTCCTAACGTTCAAAGACGTGCATCGTGTGCGTATATCCGTAAGAGAAGACAACAAGACACCGAGAAACTAACGACGGCATTGCGTACACGCGAAGAAATCAACCGCGGGTGGTTAATTTCCACAAAACGCAGCACGCACCGATTTACGTCAATTCGCACTCGAGACATCTTCAAAGAATACTTACCGAATAATTTATTAAACTAACATTGCGAGACAATGCAAGAAACTTTTATTTTTTTATTTATAACTTGGAATCTGTTGACACTTTAATATTTCAGTTAAGGGGATCCTAAAGCCGCCTGTATTACCGACTAAATCATATAATTTTTGTATAACAAATACTTTTTTTCTCTTTCACAGATTCGAAAATCCTTCTCCAGGATTAAAATATACGCATTAATACGTGTTTGTGAAGTGGAGTTTATACCGAGAATGATCAAAAATTTCGAAATTGATATATTTTTTACTATTTCTTAGTGTAACATGGCGTCTCAAACTGTCAAGTCGTAACAACATTTGCTTGATACGAAAGTTTTGCAATCTATACTTACAAAATAGTGATCCACAAACACGAACAAATTTTGAACAAGTTTGCACGAACAAATAACGTCGAGTTCTTAGAATTACACTAGACGCTTTATCGTGAATTTATTATACGAAAATTGACACGAACGTGCGACTGCGGCTGCGGTCCACTTGACGCTACAAACGCTTCGAAACGTTTGAGCGGCCAATCAGAACAAAGAATTTTACGAATTGACTAATCAAAGAATGCTTCGAAGCGTTTGTAGCGTCAAGTGGACCGCAGCCTGCGTGTATCATAGGTTGCATGAGATCAGTGTTGCCACATGGGAAAACTAAAAATCTCAATATTTTATCCCTAAATGAGATTAAAATCCCAATCTCCAAAACTTGACGACTTTTTTTCTCGCGCACCCAAGTAAAACATAGCAAATATTTGATATGAAGGATATTCTTAAACGATTATCGGTGTATCAAAGAGAACAAAGTACATTTGTCTCAACTCAACAACAACAAACATATCATGTACATGACATATGTTTACATGTCCTACCCAGATTGATATAGATACGAATTGCACCGTACGATTCACTAACGTTGCAAATGTTTCATTGACCAATCAGAAGAAAAAATTTTTTGAATTGACTAATCAAAAAGTCTATTCGCGTTGTTTGCACTTTTTGCACATGGATTGCATTCACTGCCAATGTTGCCAACTTGCCAGTATCTACTGAAAATCTATAGTGCGTGTAACATATACTATAGATTTTCAGTACTGACAGTGAATTTCGGAACGCAGCCATGATCTTTGCTTTCTCTTTTCCGACGGACGACGTAAAAATTCTAAAAAGAATCACTGCCTTCTATGAAATCCCTAGAAAATTGAAGAAAATCGAAATTTTCTTAAATCTATCCCCCGATCCCAGATAATCTTCGAAATCCCCGAATCTAGGGGTAAATCCCTCGATGTGGCAACACTGCGTGAGATATTGATGTGGAACAGTGTGGTAATATATAGTCGGTGCGCTGGAAAAACAGCGACATCTAGTGACTTCTTCAGAGTTCGAGCTTCGCTTTAGAATCCTCTTAAGGGGATGCTGGAGTGACCAAATTATCACATTACAGTCGTATAAAAATCTTCGAATTGACTGAACGGAATAAAAAATCCTTTTACAGGATTAAAGTAGACGCAAAATTAGGTGGTGCAGTGAACCTTGTACTAAAATCGAAAAAAAGTTAAACAATTTTTTAACATTCTTTCAATTTTAGTATAAAATCTACTGCACCACCTCCTAATTTTGCGTCTACTTTAATCCTGTAAAAGGATTTTTTATTCCGTTCAGTCAATTCGAAGATTTTTATACGACTGTATGTGATAATTTGGTCACTCCAGCATCCCCTTAAAAGACAAATTCAAATTTAGATTAGATTTAATCATTACAAATTATACATACTCTGCATACAAATATCGGCAGTAACATATAGTATTGGAGCGGCAGTCCAATAAAGCATTACTGTAAATCAAGGATATATTCCTTGAATCTTAATTGACACAAATTTTTTTTCTCTCTCTCTATAATAATTTTTTATATCGCGAGTTATGGAACATCTCTTACATATGTACATTCAATCAATCTTGTAGATAAAAACGCGGCTCAAACATTAGCGAGTTTAAAACGAATGACTACTCGTTCTCTAGTTTACAGTAATAAATTTTGCACCCGGCATATTTTCACGTTCGCTTATATGCGAGCAGAATCAAGGCGTGATTTTCCTTTCAAATGATATGCCAATCGGTTCAACGGGATTTTTTTTCGCGAACGTCAGTAGTTTATTCGGCGTGAGGAATGTATAATGTATGTTACAGGATAACACCGCATCGCGCGTTAAAAAACCGCATGGGGCTACTTGAAAAGTATTATTATCGTCGCCATGTCCTATGTTTCTGATTTCTTGAAGGTGCATACGATACCGCATTCCTGAATGCGTTCGAATCTTACAAGATAAAAATTTGTTAAGTGACAACTTGAAAATTTTCTCTGCATATTTAAAAGAACTAAGCGTGATAAAAAATGATCCTGTTCTATTAAATTAAAAATGTTAAAATTGCATAAAAGTGTCACAGATTACGATTAATCTATTAAGTCACGTTATGCTGACGAATCTGTACGCGAAATTTGTTAAATATGATTCTATTTTAAAATTCAAATTTTGTTAATTTCACAAGTGTTACATACACTGGAAAAAATTTACTAAATTTTAATAAATCTGTAATATCTGTGAATAAATCTTTGAATAGTACCATCTAAGTATTTACTACATACAGATATATATATTATATATATATATATAATATATACCTATATTTAGTACAAGAGCCATTAATTTGATTTAGCTATCATTTTTTTATTAAGTAAATATATTATTTATTGTAAGTAAATGTTTAGTTGTTGCTATTCAAATAAGTATTTATTAAAATTTAGTACATTTTTCTCAGAGTGTATGCCTTTATTACAATATTTAACTCAGTATGCAATTCCAGTATGCGACGAAAGTTACATTATATTACTTGGTTGCAACATATTATGTTAATACAAATATGCCATGTAAAATAACAGGAACGATGTAGATTCTGCATACATCAGACTGTGCGGATATTATCAATCATATTAATCACATTATTATTATCAGTCGTTCTGAATTAACATGCATTAATCAATAGTCCGTTAATCAGTGTTCGTGGATGTAGAAATGGATCAGAAATAAGATTTTTTTAAAAACCATCAGCAATCGCGACAAAATCAAGCATTCACAAGTCACGACGGATCATGATTTCTAGACAATCGGCAAAACTTTTATTTCGCCAAGAAAAGTTCCATTTGTGGGAGCAACGTTCGAGAACGCACGTCATTTGCACTGACGTAACATGATTTCCTCGTGAGAATGACCGCGTCATAACGTCCTTCACAAAATCACTCCATTCTCCCTTTCTTTCCACTTAACGGGAAAGAAATCCGCATGCACTTGTAATCATCTGCGCATGTTTGTGGGCAATCTGTGCATTTAAGTGATCAGTTTCGTTAGTTATCGTTTAAATGAAACATTACTGTATAAAATTTTGTAAATTATGTGTATAAATATTTGCACTTTATAAGAATTATAAAATAGAATTGCATCTCAATACTTCTCATCATTCTTATATTCTCATGTCAACCATTCTTGAAATTACATTTTTTTTCCATAATGAGCAATATTTAAACGAATTAATTTTCTTGTTTTTTATATATGCGTTCTTTATTTTGTTCGATTCGAGTGAATGGTTTAAGAATTTGCTCGTCAGCAATTATGTTAACGTATTCATTATCGAATCTTTTGTAATGTTTTAGGTATTAACATGTTTACGCTTGAAAGGGAGGATAAAGAAGAAAAAACGGGAAAGAGAATACAGAGACAAGAGAAATACAGTAGCTATCATTTAGCATGCACTTAGCAACAAATAATAACTAAGAAACAAATTTTGTTTACCACATTATATATGAAGGAGAGGACCGTTTTAATGGCATTATACAAAATATCTTGCTTTATTCGTGAGTGTTGGCACATGCATAGATGCACGCTGCATCTATAAATATCGAGCTCAAGTGAATAATTTTTTCCTTTCTTTTTCCTCTATTTCACCAATTTGGGATTTTTTTCTTAAAAATCGGTAGTCGTTATTGCCTACTGACGCATAACATAATATTTACATTCCTCGCATTTTCTACGCTTTGCATATCTCATTTCTCACACGCTCAACTTGATAGTCGCGAGGTATAGACGCTATTTGACTTGGAAATATTCTACGAACTATAAATAGTCCGATTTCCATATCTTGTATCCGCAGACATACTTCAAATTCATGGCCCTTGACGATTCTCGTCGAAATCACGCTAGCGAATTCGCATCGTTTTTAGAAAATGCATGCATTGTAAAGTAGTGATAAAACAAGCGAAACTCCCGAGAGAGTTAGAAACTAACTCGAAGTTAAGATTGAGGATCGCGAAAATAATACATATCCGGAATGCGGCATTCTGTATCGACAATTAGAGAAGGAGAGTAAAAAATCAAACCAGCCAATTCGAAGAAATAACGACGGAAAGATGCGACGGCATATCTTACGGCATATCATGTGAGAAATCGGATCTACAAGCGGAAAATACAGTAATCAGATGTTAATCAAAGTCGTGGTCGTTTTCGAAACGATACATTGAAACCGTCGATAGCAAACTATATGATGATTATTCGTACGATCCTTCTAAATGATTGAAACTTGCAAAAGCTTTCAGGAAAATATTACAAGTCTATTTGTGATGTGAATCTAGTCCGAAAAAGTTAGAAATATGAATTGTTTCTGAGCGTTACATAATTTCTTTAAAAAAATTTGTTTTAAGAGAAATTAATGGTAAATCGGTGCAATTATCTAAACGACACTTTGCTTGGAACACGCAACAGCACATTACTTCTACTTGAAAGGGATCGTCTTCTTTAAGATTCGACGCAATTCTCGCGAGTAGCAATGTAACTTTTCAACGTGAGCGCATAGTAACGTACAACATTTGCCTGTGAAATAAAATCCAAGAAGTCACTCTTCTATCTTTCCGTCTTAATAAAATTGAAGACAGTTTGCCACATAGTTGCAGACACTTTCTGCCACGTTTTCCGCACGAACGTTTCACTGCCAGCCTCGACCGAAATATTCGCACAATCCGTGAAAATATATCGTCGACACGCGTCCATTCGCGCGAACGATGCGTGATTTCGTCTAGTTCGTGTGGAATATCTCATTTATAACGGTATGAAAATGCATGCCAATACTCTTTGCTGTTTACTTTGCCAATACGAATGTCAAAGATAATTATAAGCATTGCGAACAGGAGATAAAAACGTTCGTGTAATTTACAAACACCGCTACAAAAAGTAACAATTGTTCACCTAATTAACTTGCCTTAATTTTTCAAAGAAGAGTTGTTTTCATATGTAAATTTAAATTTACAAACAAATTCCATTTATTTTTCTTACTTCTGCGATATTTTAAAAGATTTTTATCACATAAAGGTTTTTACACTATATTTTTTATCACATCGAATAACAGCACAAAATTATTCCGTCTAAATACGATTTAAGAAAATGTCTGAGAAAATGAATGTTACTATTCATAATAGGTAAATGAAGATATAAATTTTATGACATTTTTCAGTAATTCAAAAGGAAATACATATATGATTTAAATGAACGAGAGATTATTAGATTAATATAATTTAATATCGTGTGTAAAAAATTCAATGTAAATGCGTCTTATTCAGCTTGCTTCGAGTTTCCCGAGGTCGGAACACTTTAAAAAAAAAAGTGACAGACGATATATGACAAGCGATTAAAGAGTTTACTTGCGTCGTGCATATAAATTAAAAAGCTATAATATTGAACACGAAAAATCATGATGGAAATCAGTCGCTCGGCGAAAGATAAAATTTCAGTGGAGCATCATTTAACTGAATCTTGTTTGCGAAACGATTCAAAATCAACAGAATAAATCTTTGATGTGAGATCTAATTTCGTGGGAAGATCCCGTTTCATCCTTGAAACGGTAGATGCTTTAGTATCACAAAATCTTATTTTCAAAATTATTTTCCTGCGACTATGTTACGAAAAATGTTACAAAGAATGAACAGTAGAGGCTGATAGTGAAAGTATATGTTAAATATTCTAGATAGAATCGGATATTTCTGAAAAATTTATATATTCAAGTGAAAAATTCATAATCGATTTGTCTATTAACTTAAATTAGTCTATTAACTCTTTCACTACGGAAACTTTCAACGCGAAAGACGAAATTGTCGCTCCGATGTAGATGGTCACAGCGACTTCTTCCTTGCAGCGTCTCCATCAGCAAAAAACTAACAATCCACCTATTAGATTAATTCGAAGATTTGACTGCTCCAATATTTTAAGAAAAATTCAGCAAAAATGGTACTTATTGCAAACGGAAAGTAACATGGAAAAAACGGTTTTGTTGAAGTATCTAAAAATTTAGTTTGATACAGATCTGAAAATAGTCGGACTACTAAAATAATTATGTAGGACGCTCAAGATAGTTGCTAGAACGTCAAAACTTTTTCCAGCTTTGCACATCAACTTGAGTCTCCTTTTAATGATCCAACACAATTATTTTCGGATACTTAAATAAGGAATATTTTAGCAAATTGTTTTTCCGTGTGAATTATTTTCATTTTACACGTATAATAAAGTCGAACGATTTGACCTATTTGAATAAACCTTCATGCTGCAACAATTCAAACAATTAACATTCGTTCGATTTGTTTCGAAAATTCCAAGCATAAATTAATTGAAATTTTATAAAAATATACTATTATAGCGAAATATGAAGGGATGAAGGAGAGAGATGCGCGCGTCATTTGACTAGGACGTTTCAGGACGCATGTAAAAGGGACCTCACCAAGCAGGTAGTGCCGTATCCATTTTTTCTTGGGCGGGGGTGGCGTCCAATCGCTACTGTGTCGCAGCGGTTCACCACCGTTGACGACATCGATGATACCGACAATTCGTGTCGGCGGTGGATTATTCGCATCCGTCAACCCACTCACATTGTTGTTCGTCTCGGCGACGACGTCGACGACGGTGTTTAGACTCGCACGCGATTGCATTATCGGCGACGTAATACCATCTGGCAGCAGGAGAACTCCCATCTTCCTTGTAAGTCGCGCGGATCGAAACTTCCGTTTAAGCAGCTCCTCGTTTTAAGCTTTCACTCTCTCTCCAGGGAAAATCGATCGACCGGGTGCTATATCCGCCTCTCCGTCGCTATCGCGAACATCGATGTCGTCATCGATGTCGTCGTCGTCGCCAAATCGTTTGATTTCGCGACAACCGGCAATGCTGTCGCTGTCCCGCACCGAGCGAGTCCGTCCAAGATGTGGACGAGAAGGTCGCGTGGAGAAACTGTCACGGAAATGTGAAATGCACGACGTGGAGAGAGGTCTGACGTCGCGGTACCGCGGTGGTAACGGTGACGGTTATGATTACGACGACGACCGCAACAGAGAAGGGAGGATACAACAACGAGGGCTAACAAAGCTGTTGGCGTGCTAGGAAAAATCCAAACTTTTGAAACGCGGAATAGCGAGTCCGCTCGAGCGATTTCGAGGGTCGCATCGTTGCTCGTCCACCTCATTCCTCGGGGGCGATCCTCGAAAAAACATCTATCAACGCGAATTCCCTGGTGAAAATTGCGCCCATGTCGATCGTTGCGTCATTCATACATTCTTATACGCGTTACAAACGAAACGGAATTCGACAAGCGATTTGCAATTTACGGAAGAAGAATCACGTTGATTCGCGAAGAATAGACATAGGTCTCATCGATCTCCGCACTTTACGCCACTCGTGACTCTACGAATCGCAATTAGCAACCCATGCCGCGTACATCATCGTTCTAACTCGTGATCGCGATACGACTGTACCTCCACGAACGTCAGTCAGCTGTTCCCGGAACTCCGTTCCGGGTTCGGCGATCGCGACCAGTCGATCGCGGCGATCGAGTAAAACTCGTACCGCGTGAGTCGCGGGCACCGACTGAAATCTAAACTTGCGTGCCGCCGCCTCCAGCCCGAGGATGACGTCCTCGTGCCTCCCTTCTCGTGCCAGACAGCGGCGGTGGCGGTGGCAGCGGCGACGGCAACTCCCCTCCTATCCCTTCCGCGACAGTGACATCCCCGTCTTTGCGAGAATTGCCTCCAGTCACCACTCGGCGCGATCACTCTGTCCTTATCGCGCGAAGGACTTGTTCCGCGACGACGTGACACGTTGGCACTCGAGATAACTCCGAACCCGTCGCGTACGTTCTATCTAGGGCACTGCAGCGATCTCCACACACATACACAGTGTCGAATTTATCTACACAGGCACGTGCCTCCATAACTTTCTGTCATATTTTCTTAAAACTATTTTTCAAAAAACATTTGATGCATATAAATCTGCTCCATTTCGCATTATGTTACTTTTTACGCGATGTGTTCTAAACTGTATTAATTAATTTCCTTTATCGCTTTTAATTTGTCGATGCAGTTTTGAGCGATTAATAACAATGCGAGAGCTATACTCACCATCGATGATCAGCATCTTTTCTTCGCAGAAGAGATCATCCGACTCTGTGCGTTCTCTTTTGCATTTGGCACCTGAAAACATAGAAATCGTTTATTCGTTACATGTTATATTTTATTCATAAATATGTAAAATAATATAAAAATTATAAAGACGTATGACGTACATTGCTCGCAAATTAAATAAAAACTATAAATATATAGATCTATTATACTATTCAATCCCAATAAAGAAACAAAGCAAGATAAAGAGACGACTGTTAATTTTAAATCAAAGTTTATTCTTTACTGCGTAGAAAGTTATTTTTTCCCCTCTCCGACGATAAGAACATTAATGCGATTACACGCATAAGCGTAGAGGGCGCATCATCTCGCACGTACATATCTATATCTCGTCTCCCTATCTATCCCAGATTTTCGCGAGAGCATTTCACGTCAGGCGACTGGTGAATCCACAGGTCGATAAGGCATGAAAAATTGAAAGAAGCGCGTCTCCACGTGCTAGACTGGGGGTAGGTGAGGAGAACCCCCTAGAAAGGTCCGGACAACGTGACGGGTGGGAGTTGGAATCAAGTGGTAGGGACCGCACAAGCGTGTAACAAACATAAAGGTGGGGGAGATACTCAAACTTGCCGGAGCAGCTCTACAACCGCAAAAGAACCGGCAACGTTGCAGACTGATCAGGACGCCACGCGGCCGTCGCGTAAGGTGGGGATTTAGCCGGGGACGACGCGCATGCGTATTCCAGCAGCCAATTTATCCGCGTGTTCACCGGTCGTTGCTGACTGCACTTCTATACTTTCCTTCTATCACTCACTGTCTCAAAATACATATATACGACAAAAAATTCATTGTTAAAAAGATAAGTTTCTAAGTTGCTTTAATTGCAGTTATACCGGCCATACCAGTTGTGTAGAGAGAAATATAATTAATTTTATTATTAACATCTACTCTACACCGCGATGCAGTGTAGTAATTATTCTTATTGTTATTCTTTCGAGATAAATGTATTTCTTTCAAACTATAATTGCATAAATTAATCTTTAGCTTTCATAAATTGAAAGCTTGGATTTTTTTTTATTTAAATCAGACTAAAACTGTATAAAAACTAAATTCAACCAAATCTATATTCACGATTTAATCCTAATCTATTTCTAGTCCTAGTTTTTATCTATTTCTAATCTGAATAATAATTATTATTTGTAAAGCTTCAAGTTTCTGCTAATCAAAACTGCAAATAATCAATTTTAAAACATAAAAATTGAAATCGCTTACATAAACGCGCATACGTTCGTAAATGTACCCATGTAAAATAATAGAATTTGTAATTTCACTGTTTAGATAAAAAAAACGAATTTCAAGAAATTTAAATAATATTTTAACGATTTTTGGAATTATGTGAGCGTAAAAGAATTAAAACTTGAGAAATCCGTGGAAGGATTTATAATTGCACATTTCTAATTAGAGACAAATAAATGGAACGAACTGAGGACGGAAATATGATGACGTCGGAAATAGACACTGTCTATGAGAGAGAAATTATTTCTCTCTCATAGACAGTGTTCGCATAGCCCGGCGTAAAATATGGGGGAAGACAGTCGCATTACGACGTTATAAAGTGGAACTGCATCCTTCAGCCGCGTGCACGATAGATGGTCTTAAATGGTCATTTAACACACGTTGCCTGTTACATCAGGTATAATCACGCACGCGCACCAGGATAACCGGATGCGTGAAGATAGAGAGCGAATTACGGCGTTTAAACCATCCGCATTAAGAATAAAGTTGCGTGCGCGACATTTGAAATTTTTTCATTTCGAAGAAGAAAAAAATCTTACTAATCAAATTGCATGCATACCTACAATACATAGAATAGAAATGTATAGTTTGTAAAATTCGTTCATTATACTTTATTTATCAATTTTAATAGACGAATAATTCCTCCCAGCACGTCTATATAAAATTATTGAAAGATTAAAAAAACACAGATGAAGAAGAGAGAGAGCTGCATATCAGCTGCGTGTACGAGTAGATGGCGTGCTCATGAATGAAGCGCGAGTGGCCACCGCACCGTAGTTTCAGAGTCAGTGACCGGATCCCCCTCCCCTTTCCTTCTTTTCCTCGTGTAGCGACCGAACACGCGCGATATCCAGGTTTGCCACCACCATTGCCATTACTACCACTACCCTCCACCATTGCATCGCCGCATCACCTCTACGGTCACCATCGGTTCTCTCTTCTCCCGCCCCAAGTTTTGCGCCGCTTTACTGCTTTACCTTTCCCTCCCTACATTCCCGTGACGATTCGACCTCGTCGGATACCTCCAGCACTTCTCCGCCCCCCCCCCCCCCTCTCTCTCTCTTCCCTCTCCCACTTGGTCACACTCTGCATGCAAGTGGTTCGAACACGCGCGCATGTAGATTCCGCCACAAGCAAAAAGATGCGAAGCGCATGGCGAAGAGTCAGTCGAATCCTTTGCACTTCTTCGTGCTGTTCCTTTTTCCGCCCTCTCCCCTCAAACGGACAACCTAAAGCTTGCTCTCCCCTCTCACATATATCTCATTTTCTTTGTCTCCCCTCGTAACCCCTGTAAATACTCACCTTTATCCACAATGGACTTTCGCGCGTGTCTAACTACAGTACGAGAAAGGGAAAATTCCACCGTCCTCGGTGCTTTCGAGAAGGAGACGCGTATTAAGCTCGACTTACTAACGACTTACTAACGTTTTGTAATGCGATTGGAATGGCAACACGCATGATAGTACTTGCGATACTATTATCATTACAGAACATTTTTCTTGTTTTTAAATTGTTTTGTATATTTTTCAAGAAATCTTGAAGTTATCGCAAAGTTAACGATTCCCGCGATAAAGAGAAAAAAGGCAAAATGAAGGGGAGAGGAAGAGAGAGCCAGTGATGATTTAATTGCCATCGTGTTTCATGTACATCTAGCTTTTCTCAACTCAGATTTGTCAAAGGAGTAGTGGCTTGTCAACTTGAGAGAATTAATGGTAACCAGAGGAACTACAAGGATTCGATTAAGTTCCTTGTTCATGAACGCACAGGAGTGGTATGATCAACCGATAAGTGATCAATAGGCTACATCTGCGAACGGTTAGCACAAGTTGCACAAAAATGATATACTATGGCCCGTATTCATAATCGGGCCTTATATTTAAAGCTTCCTTAAATTTATCTTCAGATGCTCTACGAATTATTTCATTGGCTACATCTAAAGATAAATTTAAGGAAGCCTTAAGTACAAGGTCTGACTATGAATACGGGCATAGGTCTTCATTTTGAAACAGTAAAATACAAGATAGGGAACGCCTTCAGAAACGGAGCCAATGCAAGGCCAAGGTAGGCCGGCTCTCGTTTCAAAGAACACCATCTGACGTTAGGTTCGTCTTCGTTACTTTCTCTCCATGTTCGTCACGGTTGAGAAGCACTGCCACGAGGTAAATCATACCTAATTTGGAGACGGGTGAACGCGTGGTCATCGCACGCAACTGCGCGTGCCAGTGCTTCTCACTCAAAACAGACGTGATTGTCAACGCATGGTTATTGTTTTATAAACAGCAGATTTATATGTGTAAGACATAGAAAGAGAAAGAGAGAGAGAGAGAGAAGCGATGTATCTATTATTTCCTTTAATAGGGCTGCCTACGCCAATGTCTCGCCAAATATCTCGCAATAAAACTATATTGTAACTGAATTTGGAGCAAAATTATCTTTCACCGAAAATCGTTTGAATCTGTTTGTATCGTGAAAAGTTTGTCGTTTCAAAAAGATGACTCATCTGTTATAACTCCGGAGTTATAAGTCAAAATTTTATTTTTGAAAAAAAGATTATTATATAGATATTTCTATCGAGAGATTGCAGTTTCGCAGTTATACAATTTCTTGCATCGATATCGTCGATTTCTCTATCTAATCTAATCAAAGAGAAGCAAGGGCAGAACGTTATCATCCACATTGTGACTTTTATTCACAGATTTGATAAAAAGTATGCTTGATATATGCTTGGCGCAAACATAACTTTAATCGGACAACATCGCTCGAGTGCATTTCGTTTATGTTACTCTTAAAGCCTCTCCGTCTTATCATCGGAGAAAGATAAAGATGATATCTTTAGACACAACAAATGTGCATTTTGCACATTCGTATATTTTAGCACGTTAAATCTCGTCCCATAATGACTCAATCGATATTTTTGCGTCTCGCGAGAAGGGGACGTAATTGTTATCGGCAAATTACTCACTATTGCCACGGTACATAAAAATTCATGTGTAAGCAATTGTCGCGTTTGATAATGCAATGGCGCAGCAAAAACGCGTACGGCACTCGTTATCTACGTCTGCAAAAAAAAAAGCGTAAGGCAGTTAAAGAAACCGCATCTGCTCGCGCACAGATTTGATATTTACACACGTATTGACAGCCACGTACGTACGCATTGATACAAAATACTTTTTATTTCTAAGAGCGGAATTCATACTTGAATAACAAAAAAAATTGTAATTTTCAAGTTTGCTGATATTACAGCAGTGTTTCAATTTAAAATGATAGCTAAAGAAATTAAATTATGAAAAAGAAAATGTCGGACTGTCTGAAAAATGTTATCGTGAAACTGTCATTCAACGACATGACAATAAACGTTTAAAGCTGCTGTAAACAAAATCACTTTTTACGATAGTAACTGAACGTAATGCCATCGCATCTGTGATGGGTAACAACGCATAAAAGCGCAAAAGGTCGCGGGAGAAGCAGCGCGTGGTACTCACCACGTGGCTCGCTGGAGGCATAAGTATGATTGGAGTGGGTCGGCGCAGGCGCAAACGAGTGCTGATCGCAGGAGGAGGAGGAGGACGAGGTGCTCGCCAGGCGCTCCCGCTTCTTCTCTTCCTGTTCGACATAGTAGGCCGCTTGCAGTAACGTTTCCAGGCTCATTCTGCGGCCGGTTTGCTGCTGCCCTATGGATGTGGAGGGAAGGAGAACGCGTTGGTGATGATGGCGGCGATGCGGCGGTTGTTCCGCGGAGTCTCTATATTCGTCAACACCCGCTGTGTGATCGTTCTGACTCCGGCGCATCGAACCGCCGGCGTCGCGACAGCCACAGGCACCGACGCCGCAGCCGCCGTTGGTTCCGGACGCCGGCGATGAATCGGCAGGAGCAACCCCGACTCCCGACAGTCCCGACTCTCGGCCTCCTGCCCTCGCCCCTCCTCCTTCGCTGTTGCCGCTGCTGCCCGCCGCGTACGACAAGCTGCGTGCGGAAAAAAAGCGAGCCGTTAATTGTACGCATCGATAAGAGAGAATAACCATTTTTTTTCACAACGACACACGTTAAAATGTTTTCTTTTTTTTTCTTATTAAATGCGACTGTTAAGTCGGGAGCGTGATAACTTTAACGGGAGCAAGGAGAAAATAGTAGTAAGAGAAAAAGAGAGATTACCGTCACGCGTAGCGCATCTCTATCGTAATTCAAGAGGAAAATTAAGGGAATTTACTTCGTTTTGGTTAGAGTGGTTACGAGCTCGCTAGAACTCTGTGTTGCATGCCGTTATCGGACTTATCTAGAGAAGGGTGTCGTGGACGTCGCGGACACGACCGGTGTGCCTACGACGTACGTCACGTAACGTACACGCGTGACGTAACGCAGTCGCGCGCGGGAAGCCTTTCCATCCCCCACCCCCGGCCACCCACTCACGTCGCTCTTGCAACAGCGCATCAGACGGAGCGCGCCACGCAGGCGCGTCGCGGCTCTTTTTTCCTACAGCGCAGAACGACAGCACGTATCTGTAATTCTGTACGTATCCCAAGCTCGCTGGAACCGAGCGGACTGCTTAATAAAGAAAAAAAAGGGGGCGAAAACGACATAGGTCGAACACTTGAAAAATTACTTATCAAGCGCGTCGTGTACCGATTTCCAATAAACGATAGCATAGCCTCCGCGTAAACCTGTTTCCTTCGCCTCATCCTGAATAGACCTAAACGTTTCGTTTTATTCCATCTTTCTATTTCACAAAAATTAAATTCGTACGTGATTCGATTTTAAAATTGGACCGATCAACCGAGGCACACGTTCAGAATAACGTGTACGAGCTTGATATCGCGGCTGATCGGAAATCAACAATTCGTGGGATCGTGTAAACATAGCGGCGCTCTCACGGATCGTCTTGTTCGGCTTGTTCCCCCGCTGCTCAAACGTGTGTGATGAAAAAAAGAAAGGGGAGACCGGCAGTGGCGTCTCGTTACGTGGAGTTTGCGTGCGCGAAAACGGCCACGAGTATGCACACGTTGTATTGTCGGCGCAAAAAAAAAATCAAGTAATCCTTGGCATAAAAAAATGAGAAAAAGGAAATTTGTGCCTTTCGCGAACAATAACCGGCACCGTGGCAGAAGAGACGGAACTTCGTTGTTTAAAGCGCCGAATGGATTGCGATAATTCCCAAAAGCACATGTAAATCAAATAAGGAGAGTGGAAGAATGTCTCTCTGAAAGCCAGGTTACCTCGGTGGAGTCGCGAAAGCGGACGACGTCGGCGGCGACGCGCGGTCGCGCTCGCATTCTCCGCGGGAGACGCGCGGGGTCGGCATGTGAAAATAGTGGAGGGAGCGGACGCGCGGAACGAAGCAGAGCGGAGTGGTGCGGAGCGGAGCGGACCGATTAGCCAGTGGCAGCGGAGGTGCTGTCGTTGACGTCGTCATCATTATCATCATCATCATCATCATTATCATCGTCGTCGTCGTCAGTAGCAACGACAGTGGCAAACGTGATCGTGCGGAGCTCAAACAGCGCATGTCCTCGCAAAAATTCGAAGGAACGTGCTGCGAGGTCCAAAAATTGACAAAGCGACACGCACGTTAGAACGGTTGACGATGCACGCAACTCCAACCAATCGCGACGCTCGCGGCCCATGACGTCGCCGGCTGGACGTCGCGCCATTGGCTAGTTCTATTATGGCACGGAAAACACGCCACGCAACCATCTCTATACACATGTTAATTAAATAGGCGCTAGTAACGGAGATAATGGTTCACCGAGACACCCGCGCTCGCGTTCCGTCACTCTCTCGCTCACTCATTCGCTCTCTTTCTTTCTCTCTCTCTCTCTCTCTCTCTCTCTCTCTCTCTCTCTCTCTCTCGCATGCCCCGTTTCGTTCCGCCCCGTCCCTATCTCTCTTTCTCTCAAACGGGCGTGGTGGTTCGAGCGAGAGAGAAAGGTATAGAGTCGGAGATAAATACAGGTAGAAAGGGCTGTACCTCGGCCAAACTTACAGGTTGAAACACGTTGTGTCCTGAGCACGTTCCGGGCACGCACACGCCGGCCAGGTACAACACAACAGAGCGGCTCTCTAGTTCCCTTTAACTCACTTCTATGCCGAAAACGATCGCCGATCCTGTCAGCGCGCGTGGTCTCTCGAATCGAATCGGATGAAAATTCTGCAAGGCGGTCGACGACGAGCGGCGAGTCGACGCGAGAGAAATGCCCGCGACCGCAAGTGCGACCGCGCGACGAGCCGACTGTTTCGGAGCGCGCGGCGAAACGCGGGTTATAACCTGATCGATCTGGCGCGTGGCGGTGGCATTTTACAAGTGCTGAAAACCACTGCGCATCAAACTGCCATGCTTGCTCGGCCACGATTCACGTGTCTATGCTCCGTGGCGCGAGCCAATCGTCGCGCAGCTCGTGACGTCACCCGGCTCTATCGACGAATGAACGTGGCCCATGTGACGCAGCAGCACGCAGCAAATCCCGCTGGGCGTGTAAGAAGAGTATCGCGGAGTGCCTGCCTTGGCGATGTCGTTCACTCGCTCCGTCGATCGGTCATCGTCGTCCCCGGTCGTCCTCGTCCTCGTCCTCGTCGCCACCGCCGTCGTCGTCGTGGTCACGGCGGTCGCGCTCGTTCTAATCCCCACGCGCTCCGTTTATCAATTCCTTAACGTCGCGCGTTTACTTCGCCGTGAACGCGACGCGTCGCGCTGTGCAGAAGGCTGTTCCTCCTGTTCTGCACGTTGCGCGACGACGGAGGCATACGAGCATTCAGGCACGTACGCGAAACGCGAGAGAACGACACGCGGAGCACACCCGACACCCGGCTCGCCCGGGCAAACACTCGCGCTCCGACCGATCGCGGCGGCAGCGGCGTCACCCTCCGCCACCTTTTGTTACGTTCCTTCTCTGTCACATGGATCGACGCCGCGCGAGCGCGAATGCGCGCGCTGTTGCCACTTTTACCCGTCTGCAGACTCGTGCCGTGCCGTGCCGCCGTAGCCGCCGCCGCCGTGCCGTGTTCTGCCAGAGCTACGCTCTATTGTTTACTTTCGCCAGTGCGCGCGCGCGCCATGCACCCACGAGGTCGTGAGTGGTCGCGGAGAGGCTGTGACCGCTGCGAGGTGACCGCGACCAACCCGCCAATCGCGGCTGCTAACGGCTACAGCTGCTATAGACGTGATCACGTAAATCCTTTTCCTCGGTTTTTTTTTTTTGCGAATAGGCACTTTTAACTGGTGGCCTACGTCCTTACTCGATTTGAAAAAAATCGACGATTCGAAAAAGCACAAATATATAAAATATAAATTTAATTGTGACCGAATTTTTTTAATTTTTATCCTTTTGTCTTTTTCTCTGACGTCTAGTTATATACCTATTTCATATTAAGTACATACAATGATATAGGGCCTGTTCTTTTCTCTTATTTCCTTTCATCTTTCTTCTTCTTCTTTTCGCATTAGAGAAAAAAAAGACAAAAGATGAACAGTGGAAGAAGTTTAGTCTTGGAGTATGGAAGAAGAACAGACCTACAGTATAGCTACGAAGAATAGACCTTTACAAGGTAAAGGGATATGAATGATATAAAAGTGACATGATGATTATAATGCTTGAAATATTTTTCTCATAAAATAAATCTGAAGATAATTGAATTAAATTGATTTGTTTCAATATGAAATTAAATACTCATACTATTAAATACTTAAGTGCTCCATCTGCTTGTTCTACCAAATTTTGTTTGATTCGTGTACTAATTTCTTATAGAAATATATTAACTTTTACAATATATGTTTAAGACAAGTTTATTTGTACAAAAATTGTGACTAGATCTTACATGAAGTATCATATTCTCTAATAGAATTTACTCTAGAAATGAATTTCTGAAAACGTATCTTTATAAATATAGCATTAATCTGGAATATTTTTACATTCTGCAAAAATAAAACATGTTAATATTATACATATTCATTCTGTATTATATAATAAGTATGTCACAAAGTATTACAGCTATTGATAGAAATACATCTTTTTAATCAAATATGTACGAGATATTGTTTTGCTTTGAATGAATAACAAAGATTTTTAAATTATCTTTCACAAAATAATTACTCTCACATTTTCATATGTGATATACTAACGTATGTATATTGTTACATTGTAAAACGTGTAATTTAAAAATATTAACAGAAAATATTTTACATTCTCTGAGTTAAAATTTAAATATTTTACATAAATTTTTTACTATTCTACTTTCAATCAATATAGCAATTGATTATGTTAAAATCAATTATAGCAGACGTTTTATACAGATACAAATTTTAGTAAAAATCTACTCAGTCCCCAAATACTATTTATCCACTATACTTCAATTTCAGAAAAAAATTTCCATCGTGAATATTTTACATTCTGCAAAACTAAGACAGTTACATCTGTCTTTATGAGACATATTTCGTTAGGACCATCGAGATTCCAATATCAGTAAATTTAACTAAAGCAATAATAGTTATCTACTTAAATTACTAACATACAGATGCTTCAATTCTGTCTTTGGTGTATTTTCAAAAAGTGCCGCACGATTCTGGCCCTCTCCCTTCTTTACCCAGTGTCCATAGACACGAAACGCGCAGCCATCAATCACCTGAAAACAATTATTAAAAATATTCTTAGCAAACACACATATTGCTCATACTTGATTAATTTCATAATTATATTCATTCAATCTTAGAATAATATCAGGTTTTGAATTTTTTATATGAGAATCACAAAAACCAAAACTCTACCAATCCCAATACTCTATAGCAATATTTTTTTCATAATTATTATTTATTATGCTCATTTGCGCACTTAATTAATTTGTCGTAATATGGATTTTTATCGTGGAAGAATTTACCTTTCGCAGAATTTTTATTCTATATGGGTCGGTACAAGCTACGTAAATCTCTTCCTTGCATTGAATGATTTCGCCTTCAACTCCTGTGCAACAAATAAAGAAATACCTGATAAAAATGCACTAGCTATTCAACACAAACGATAATAAGCTTTTTAAATTAATATTTCTATTTTAACATATAAATACATGTTAGAAAAGAATATTATCATTATTATTTACTAAATACATGAAAGATAAAGTTTTTCTTTGTTAAATACGACGTGTATATATATATAATTCAATAGAATTCTATTGAATTAACGTTCAGCAATTAGAGAAAAAGTGTTAATATCAAAATACACATATTCGTATATGCAAACACATGTGTTGTCATTCAATGTTAAATATTAATAAATTCTTGTATGAGAATGCAGTAAGTATATTCAATGTATATGTATACATGTGAATACAAGCACACGCACAAGCTTAATTAATTAGATATACATATAAGTAACTTAGTTTGTCATTGTCAATTGATTTTCAAACATTATTAATGCTGCTGCCAATCTTATTTATAATTTTAATATAATCAAAGAATGCCAACTAAAATAAAATAAATGTTAATTTTTTATTACGTAAAAATGATAAAAATAATCAGTAAATTTTACAATATAATAATAGTAATCAATAAACGTTGCTACCAGACAAAATAAAAAGAAAAGTAAATTAATTACCAAAGCTAATTGAGATATCCTACTCAGACGTCGCGAGTTAGATGACAGAGAACGTTTTAGAGGAGCGATGTCTTGATCCCATAGCTGTAAGGTCAATAACTTATACTTTATAATTATATCTTTAAAATCTATTAAACTAAAATTTTATCTATTCCAAGATATTTTATTAACCAAAAATAAAAACAATAAAAAATAATAAATAATTAAGCAGACAGAAAATTAATAATTTTGTGTGCAACGTGTACTTGTTCATAAATTCCATATTTGCTATTATATGACAATAAAATATTAAATCTTATGCATGTGCATTTTTTTGCTTCTTGTTGTGCGTGTTATAATTTTTACAATTAGATATAAAAATATTTGTAATGTACAGGATGGTTTAGAAAAAAAGAAACGTTCTTCCTGGGATACCTTGTATCTAAATGAGTGTAAATATATTTTAAAATGTGAATAGTGAGCAGAAACCAAGCGAAACAAATTAATTGGCAAAATATCGTAGTTTTGCAGTCGAATATAATGTGCATAAAATATGTATTAGTTATTTAGAAAGTTCTTTGTATATTTTTTTCATTTTAAATTGAAAATTATATAAATAATATTTTCTTTGGTAGTTTAGTATTAAGTACTTACGACAGTATGAAAGAATGAATGTTCTAACGCATCCTTTATAGAAATTCTTCTCTTGGGATCAACAACTAGCAACTTCCTTATTAAATCTTTTGGAGCTTCTAGAACATGTTATAAAACATATATTGATATTTTATTTTTTAAAAATTTATCATTTCTTTGAAATTTAATTTTTATCAATCGCAATTTTTACCTGTTATGTCAGCCCATTCGGGAGAAGTGAATGAATATTTTCCCTCCATTATATTCCTAAGCATAACCATTTGTTTTCGATGCCAAAATGGAGGACAGCCAACTAATAGTGTAAACATAATCACGCCACAAGCCCATCTATTACATCATGAACAAAAATGGAAAATATAATGGAACCTTGTACTTCGCAAGAAACTATATATATAACTAATATATATTTAACCTTACAAGTGAATACGTTTTTCGATATTTTTCTAGTGGTTTCTATCATATGTTTGCACATATATATATATATAAATCAATGATATATTTTAATAAATATTTATTGAATTTTTTAAAAATAAATTTTGAATAAAAATGAAGAAAAGAGACAATGAAAAGGAAAGATTTATCAATATTTTTCTTAAATAATTAACAACATTGTTTCTTACAGAAAAAAATCACATGTGGCTCTAACGCGTCCGATATTTTATCTGCTCGACGTTCAACGATGTATTGGTCTTTCGGGAATACGTTCTGAAACCAGTGGAACCTCGAGTCCCTTCTACTATCTACAAACTATCTTTTAGAAATTTAAAAAGGAAACCCAAACAGGCAGGAGGTCGCTTGTGTATCTTGGTACCTGATTGTGGAACAAATCGAAATGGATTCCAAGCGGAATTATTCCCTAGAAAACATAATAAAAATTTCTTTTACCTCGTTTTTCAAGATACACAATCGACTTTCTGGTTTCCTAATTTTACAATTACGAGCAGAAATATCTCGAAACAATTTTGTTTCGGACCTTAACGTGTTCACTCGTAGAGTTAAAAATTAATTCATGCATGTATACATGCGCACATGGAATTATATCTTTTAATCATGCATGCGTTGACGATGTTCATGACAAGCCACTGTGTACCATTTATGTATATAGACATGTACTTTTTTAACTCTGAAGAAATCTTACATATCAACTTCAAATCCGTAACCATCTGTATTCTCAAACATATTACACTTTAATACTTCTGGTGCTAAGTAGCCAGGTGTACCACAAAGGTCTGTAAAATACATCAAACATTTAATTGTCTAGACTTGGAGTACATATAAAAAAATGACACAGACCTTCTAATTTTTCTTCATGTTTCAATATTTTGGCAAATCCAAAGTCAGTTATCTTCACGTTCAAATTATCGTCAAGTAATATATTCTCAGGTTTTAAATCTCTGTGTACTATTCCTTGATTGTGTACATGCTGGATTCCTTCGAATACTTGTCTCATGATATAACGCGTCTTCTTTTCAGAAAGTGTCACGACCGACGTGAGATAATCAAATAATTCTCCATTCTTGCACAATTCAAAAATTAAGAATATAAATGTACTAGATTCAAAAACATCATGCAATTCAACTGAAAATGAATAAAAAGGAAAGAAATAACTATAATCGTTCTATATATACATAGTCATTTATTTTAAAATAAATCTACAAGTCTCTCTTACGATTTTTGCCATTTCTAAAGAGGAGTAAAATAAGAAACTTACTGATATATGGATGTCCAGCTACTCTACGAAGTATTTGGACTTCTTGTAGCGTAGCATCCTTCATAGTATGCATATCCTCATTAGTCTCATTGCTGATGTCTATAATTTTAGCCGCGTACTCCATTCCTGTTTCTTTCTCTATGCATCGTCTCACAGTGGAAGATATTCCTCTGAAATACACGTTCACGAAAATTAATCCCAATCTATCGAAATCAACATTGGTATCAAAGTCAATATTTGCAATCTGTGCCAAAACTTGTCGAAACTGTGTCGAAACTTATTTTAATTATGTAATGTTATCGTCAACTCGGAAGATGATCCGTCGTATTTACTTTACCAAGTATTTACCACGATCGCTGGAGCAACGCAAAAATACATAAAATATGAATAGGGATACAGCATTTGTTAATGTTAGGAGCGAGTCAATAATAATAATAATAATATTAAGAAACGCGCGCGTGTTATTCGGGCGAAACGTGGAGTGACCCACCTTCCTAGAATCTCTTTGGGCTCGTACTTAGCATAAAATCCCTTCGCCGCGTCCTTGTCTGGCAGCACATCGTCCCCTTCATCCTTCGCCATGATTCGCGTCGTATACGTTCGTTACGTCGCTCATAAGAGACACGCCGCACTTCTTCACGCGAATCTCCCCAATGGTGCACTCGCCAAGAATAATACACTCCCGAGAAAGATTCAACACGGTCCAAGCAATCGGGACATACTACCAGCGAAGTTTCTGTCACGCGACGGCACTGTCATGTTCGCGTACTCCACTGAAAGACAGTGAGAGAATTCGTCTCACACACACGGCTATAAACAGCTTACATTATACAGATATTCCGCATTGGTGCACTCTAAAGGCTGTTTTATATGAAGTTACCAGTCTGATCATGAAACTCGTGGAGTAAAGAAAAAAGAATCGGTCGTATTCTCTGTTCTCTGAAAGGAATTTCATTCTCATTTTTGTTTCTTTACACAATCTTTGCTTAGTGTATTATGTGAGAAAGAAGGCATTTATATTTCTATTTAATCTTGATTTAATGAAGCATTTAAATTCCGATTAAAGGAACTATTGAAAAACGATTATTTTTAGTGCTGTCCTCTACATCTACTTTTATTATTTGGTATCTCGTGACGAAGTTCGCATGTAATCTATTATCGGTAAAATATACATTTATCAAAAATAATTTATTGGAAAATATATAATTAACGTTAGATCTTGCAAAAATAGACTAAAACTTGCAAAAATAGTTATCAACTCTTGAATAAAGAAAAGCATTACATTTGTTAAAAAACGTATTTTTTGTCAAATCAAAAATTATTTGATCAGCTGATAATAATACTATTTTCACGTTTATAAATGGCAATGTTGCAATGCGATATATATATATATTGTATATGTATAGGTACCTATTTAAGTCCATATAAAGAACCGATATACGCCATTTCAGTCATTATTTATAAATACTTCAATAAATTATAGGAAAAATTATATATATCACTTGACATAATTTACAACAACGTCGCATGATGATCCAATTATTTATAAAACTTGTAGTATTACATAATTATGCATTTTGACATATATTTTATAATTTAAAAGTTTATCTTTTTATCCAAGATTATTCTTAAAGTAAGATTACGATAAAAATTACATCCGGAGAACGTATTACTAATGTTGTTAAAAAAGGAAAGAAGTAGATATTTGAAACTTTTTAATATGACAGATTCAAATGTCATTTTTTCGTACGAAATTTTACGATAAGATGATTAAATCGTTTCCATTATCCTTGAGTTGGTAACAGTACAAGTTAGTACTGCAGTTGAAAAATGTAAGTAAAAAAAAATAATAATAGAGAAACATGTCTGCAAATTTTTGGCATAGACGTAACTTATTGTTAGTCGTGGACTCAATAGAGAAAGCGCCATGCATGTTTTAAATAGACGAGGGAATAGGAAAGCATTCACTTTTATGGTTGACTGTACGATCGCGCCGTATGCGCGGCATGCCAACTTCCATTGGAAATTTCCATTCGAAATACACAGTCGGTCGCCGTCGTCTTGTAGGTAGCTCCGTAGAGGACTGAGGAGACGTTTCGTAGCTGCAGCGTCTAAAAACCAGATTGCGAACGAACTACAAGTGCCATGTGACATTAATCCTGCGGTCGCGCGAAATAGCGAAGAGAATGGGAAGTCTCGTGGAATTTATGTGAAAGAATTCAACAACTCAGGAGTGAATTATTTCATACAAATTATTTCATATAAACGTATACAAAATTATTAAATTAATAAAAAGAAATACACAATTTGATAAAGATATATTAATAGTTAAAAAATAACTTTTAATAATAAATATTTAATAGCTTTGTTGCTATAATTATTTTTATCTCCATTATAGTTAGAATTCATCATAACAGTCTAGATCGGCATGCTTTTTTTGCGACTAAAGTAATCAATTTGCATTGAAGTAAATGAATGCGGCATGAATATCAAAAGTAATTTACATGTATACGGATATTAACATTAAATACTGTCGAATTAATTTTGCATTAGAATAAGTATCATACATTGATACTTTTATCGCATTTCAAATTATTTAACATTATTGTATCTTTTTTGTTATTTATAAAAAAATAATTAAAGAAAATACAGACAAAGAAATGGGAGAATATTAACAAATAAAGAGATATAAAAGATATAAAAATGACAAGACAAAAATCTTTAAAATACTTCATACTATAATGACTGTAATTTTCTTTATTATGCAAGCAATTTATGATAATCATGTGACGCGGCAATTTTTGCACGTGACTGCAAAATCTGTGAAATGTGATCATGCATATGTGTATATGTCTATCAGGTGATATTTATACAGAATCTGTAAGTTAGGTGACAATTTTTCGGTCTTATAAAGGAATAATGAGGTCTAATATAATAAATAAAACATTTTTCAACATTTATTACAGTTAAGATCTAAAAATAATTCTGTAAATGAACATCTCATCTGACGACATTACTTATATTTCTTGGTAATAATGGAATGGAATTGCTCGAAATTGCAATTTATGGGGCAACTTCAGCCAAATTCAAATTAACTTAATCAGCTATTAATTCATCTAATAAAATTGTTTGTGCAACAAAATTTCTAATTATGTTATTCCTAATTTAATCTTTCTTTTCTTATATTAAATAACAAAAAAATTAATATAAAATAGTAATAAAGCTCAATAAAATTAAAAAACAAAAAGGAATAGGAATAAATTAATAAACAGAAAAATTAATTGTTCTATTCCTATTTAAATAGTATAGATATTGCTTTATGTTAATCACCGAGTAAATTAATCGGAGTTCGATTGAAGTCTACATCCTTGGCGGTCAAAAAGAATAGTTCTAACATAAACATTTTTGTTACAAAATTGCAAAAATTGTGAAGAATTTTAGGAATTTATTACAATAAAAATAATCTTATCGACAGTAAAGCGCAATTATATGAAAAATACGTCTTATCTTCTTATGACCAAGTACCCGCTTGGTCATAAAAATTATCATTTTAAATACGATGATAAAAACGTTCTTCCTAGCTCTTCGTCACGTGGGCGACATTCGATCTCTTGCACGTTTAAAACCGCATCAAAGCAGTTTGCTATGTTATTAAATGTTACATATTATGACGTGTGCGAACATGAATCATGTTTGCGTTATTAGTAAAACGTGCGAGAGTAAGAAAAGCAAAGGCAACGAACCGATGTCGAATATTGCGGGAAGTTAAGGATAAGGAGTTACTGCGGATTTATGATGATGGAAAGTTACAACGACACTTATCGACACTGCTCAGTAGCTTACTTATTTTGTACTGGATTTCTATGGGAGGGCAAGATAAAGCTTATTTTAAATTCTTGCTCTCAGATCCAATAGCGCCGTCGCTAATCTCGCCACTTTCCGCCGCATTATTGCAGTGTACGGTGATTTCTTATCGGCGGTAATGTAAAACCAAATGATTAAATGTATACTTATAAACAATTTCAAGCAAAATGTTTACAACTTATTATTTTTATTTTTTAACTTCACTAAAAAATTTTTTAAATAGATATACATATACCGTGTATGCTAAAAAATGTAAAACTGCATTTGACAAAATATATCCTTCCGAAAAAATATTTTATTATTTATTTATTTACTTTTCATTTGTTCAAAAATTCATACTTATAGCCAAATAAATAAATATTATTATATGCACATTACGTAATTATTTAAAAAGGTCTGTATGATTCTCAATATGAAAATTTTGGTTTATCTTCCTTTCAATCATTATACATTATCATTCCTTTCGATCAAGCGAAGTCTGTCACTTCATAACTATTTAAATTTAATATATTTAAATAGCTATATGAAATGACTTTTGCTCGCGTTTTCTACATTCCATCCATCGTCATATTCTGCTAACGTATTCTGTTATATTTTTGCTAGCATTATACCGATAAAATTTATAGCAGAGACTGTGCAAAATCTATTTCACAGCAGATATGTCTATCTGATGCCTGACAAATAATATCAATAACTATCGACTGCATTGTGACAACAGAAAGAAATGTGACACAATAATCGGCTTTTGAATATTCTAATGCACAAATGCAAACCATACCGCGAAAATTTTTCTCGAGATCTAGGAGATCTACAATAGTCTTAAAACACTAGAACGTTGGATATTTTTGATACGGATTGTACTTCTGGGTTGAGACAACTCCCGTGGGGAGTCTGCTCATTTCTCGGTAAGAAGAAGACTTAAAGGACCTTGCTGTTCGGATTAGATGGTTCTCATCACACATACGTGTGTACACCTGCGCATATGTATACTTGAGCATTAGTGGCGATAGCATAATCAGTTGTTCTTTTGAGAGAATTACAAATTTCGACATAGTTTTCTTCTTTCGCTAAATTGAGTCAAGAATACGACGCAAATCATTATAACGGTCACAAATCTTCCATGCAAATATGTACACAGATCTGATATACTCGGATGATACCAACCTAGCTGCAAAGTACATGAGATTTGTGTTACAGTCCGACATTTAACGTAAGCGCTCGAGCTATATTTATTTCAGCTCACTGTGAATAAGTTTAATAAACAGAAATAACCGCAGAGGGTTCAAGCGCAAAGGCACTTCAAGTTAAACATTATTCAGCTGTAGATATCAGAATTTATCAATTAATTTTATTACCGATAAATTAGTTTCATTATTTATTCTTATACGTTTACATTTTAAGAAGAAAAAATAATTGGTAAATATTCAAAAAAGGGGAGCCATCTCCGATGATCTTGACCTTGACATATGTTGTCAAGGTCGTGACCCTGAGTAACCTCTATCAGGTTTTAGCCGTTGGTCGTTATTCATTAAAAAGTTATTAACAAAAGAAGTTCAACTATATAATATGTTGTCAGGGTCACGACCCTGAAAGATCTCCAACAAGTTTTAGGTGGCTTTCACCCTCGACTCTTCCCCCTCCCCTCCTCCTTGCAAAGGAGCGCACGACTTTCACCCTTGACTCTCACGTCCCCTCCACTATGTTATTCCCACAGACAGGACATTGCGTTTTCGTACGTATCACTTTCTTTTTATCCAAATAATCAATAAGATTTTGGAAATTATGTGTTAGATGAATAAATTCATGAAGTAACATGGTGACAGCACAAAGTGAGAAAGAATATTGATTATGAGTATATCGTAATAGTGACCTTTCCATTGCTTAAATGTAAGCAAAATAAATCGAGGAATAAATAGATGATTGTGTATG